TGGGCCTTGGCCTCTACCAGCTGTTACCAAACTTTCTTTGTCTGGAGTGGGATCCGGGGCCTCTGGAGCAGGAGGGAGCCAGGACACGCCGAGCCTTAATCCAGACACGTGGCTTAATCCAGAAGAGATCAACTCGAGGTTTGGGAGCTGGAGGCATCGCTCAGGAGACGGCAGCCCCTGGGGCTGGCAGGCCAGGGCTCTAGGAATGCCAGGATCTGCCCTCTGAGAAACCTGGACATGGCAGACGCCTGGCTCATCCCAGGACCCTCGGCCTACGGAGCAGTGGCCTGAGTGTCAGAAGGCCTCTTGTCTGGCCCTGGCTGTGCTGTGTGACTGTGAGCACCTCCCTGCCACTCCTTGAGCCTCAGCTTTCTCAGTGCACATGTGTTCCCCCCGGGCGGATCGTCACCTGTGGATTTCATCCTGGGCTGAATTGCATGGCACAGATGAGGAGAGCCTGGGAGCACAGGAGGGAGCTGTTAGGGAGGGCTCCCTATGGGAGGAGGGCTTTGGGATGAATTGTGATGAGGAGGAAAGGGCATCCTAGAAAATAGCCATGCTGTGCCCACAGCACAGGGCGGGTATGAAGTGGTGTTCTCATTAGAGCTTGAATTTGTGCTCACTGTGTCAATCCCTAGTTCCAGCCCAGGTCCTGCCGCTAATATGCACGTGAATCCCTTCCCCACTCATCGTTCCCATCTATGAAACGATCACATAATATATGGCCCCTTCCAGCTCTGTTGACCTGGGCTAGGCAGGAGGTGGGCCCAGAGGTGGGCACCAGGCATTGGGATGGGGCAGGGAAGGCAATGGGGAGCCATGGAAGATTCTCAAGCACAGAAATGAAAGGGTGCTGCAGGGAAATGAACAGTGGGGTGGAATGAACAGCCAAGAGGTGGGGACAGAGTTCAGAGCATCAAGGAGCCCGGTCAGGAGGTGGGCAGATCCCCTAGGAAGATGGGACTGGCCAGAGCATGAGCCTCAGAGAGAATGTGGTCCAGTGAGCAGAGCCCGCGCCTGGCCAGGAAGAACCCCGGGCAGGCTGCATAGCCTCCCTGAGCCTCACTGTCCACATCTATGAAGTAGGGCTCTGGAGTCCACGTCACCCTGGCTGTGGGTAGGAGTGCGGGTGATGTGGGTGAAAGCCCTGGACGTGGCACTGGTGATCCCTGCCAGGGCCTCATGGTGCTGTTCTCCCTTCTTCCCTCCCGAGGCCAGCCCCGAGCCTGGAGGAGATGCTGAGTTGCAGGTCGGGCACACCAGCCCTGACTCCCTGACCAGTAAGCCAAGCGCCCCTACTCCAGACCTGGCTGCTTGGGGACAGAGCAATCTGCGGAGAGCCGAACCTTTCCTCCAGACACACGGTTAACCATTAACTTATTTTTCATCAGAGAAGTGTTGGAGCTAGGACCAAGGCTTGGGGGGAAGATTCCTTGGCATTTAGATAGAGGGCAAGGGCAAGCTGGCATGTGGGCTGTAGAGGGGGAAGGAGCCTGAGCCAGGGGTCAGAAGACCTGGATTTGCAGATTTACCTTTTTACACCTTGACTTTCCCATTAGCAAAATAATGATGGGAATAAGACCTGGGCCCGATGAGGTAGCTCGTGCCTGTAATCCCAGCACTTTGGGACGCTGACGTGGGGGATTGCTTGAGCCCAGGAGCTTGAGACCAGCCTGGGCAACATAGTGAAACCGTGTCTCTACAACAGATTTAAAAAATTAGCCAGGCATGATGGCGCACGCCTGTAGTCCCAGCTACTTGGGAGGCTGAAACAGGAGGATTACTTGAGCCCAGGAGGTAGAGGCTGCAGTGAACCGTGATCGTGACCCTGCACTCTAGCCTGGGCGACAGAGCGAGACCCTGTCTCAAAAAAAAAAAAAAAGAATAAGGCCTGTGCTGCCTTTCTCCTGGCGAAGGGACAGATACGAGGGCTTCACACGCACTCAGCAAATGTGTCAAGGATGTGTCATTATATCCCTTCCTGACAAATACTGCCACTGCCCTGCCCATTCATCCCCACCGACCCCTCACGAAACCAAGCCCTGAAACGCAGCAGCTGCCTCCCGTCCTACCTGTGGCTGAGGCCAAGCAAACAGGAGGGCCACAAGGGAAGTGAGTTCTGCCTCTTGGAAAAGCTTCGGTCTCCCTGGCATGGTGCCCAGGGTGTTGGCAGAAACTGTCCTAACGTGGCAGGCATGGGGGCTCTGGGGATGTGGACCGGGCAGGAGGCAGGGAGGGGGTGATGGGGGGACGGGGGCTGCAGGGGGGCTCCCCAGGGGTGGAGCCACCTAGTGGGTAGGGCATGGGCACTGGCCAGGGTGGGGCCCAGGGGCAGAGCGAGCTGTTGGCACTGCCTGAGTAAATAATGTGGGCCCATAGCACACACGAGTGTTTGCACAGAAGGACTTGAAATGATTCCAGGCCTGCCCTCTGTCCCCCACATCCCAGCCCCGCCTCAGTCTCTGCCTACCCCTCCCCACCCTGACCTTTCCTTCCTTGTCACTTAAAGGAGCCCTTGAATGGGAGAGTTGAATTCAAAGGGAACACTTTTCCCTCCTGCTGGCATTCTCTCCACCTCGGTCAACTGCAGGCCTGCCATGTAACGCTGGGAAGCTTGGGCACTGCACAAGGAGGGTGGGCAGTGGGCGTTGAAGTTCTCCCTGGGCTCCATTCGTCAAGCCGCACTATCCAGGGGGAAGTGGTGCCATTTTCTGAGTTGTGTGAAGATGAATGGGCTAGTTGTGGCCCTGTCGAACTGGAGGTGTCTTCCAAACTGGGTTCTTTCCCTTGTCCCACCTGCAGAGGCAGAGGCAAATGCCAGCTGCATACGGAGGCTGTGCGGGTCAGCCCCACAGTGTGACTGGAGTTGGACCAGGGAGACCCCTTACCTGCCCGCTGTCCCAGTGGCACCATAAATGCCACCGTTAGAGAGGATTTCAGTGTTTAAAGCACTAGCCGGTTGCCTGTAAAGCAGTGATCCTCAGATTTGAACATGCATGAGAATCACCCAAGAGGCCAGTTAAACCAGACTGCAGGGCCTCCCCCAGAGCTCCTGAGTCAGTGGCTCAGAAGTGCCTGAGAATCCAAGTTTCTCGCAAGCTCCCAGGAGGCGCTGGTTCTGCTGGCCAGGCACCGCATTCTGAGAACCACTGCTTGAGAATCTAAATAGCCCCGAGAAAGGACACCAATTAACTTGCCCTTAACAGGTTTATCTGCCCCTTTCCGCCTCTCTAACTGGTTCTCTGTACTATTGGAAGCATATAACTGTTGGTAATCTTCTGCCTCTGTCTTTATTTTTTTATTTTTATTTTTTTTGAGATGGAGTCTCGCTCTGTCGCCTAGGCGGGAATGCGGCAGTGCAGTGGTGTGATCTCAGCTCACTGCAGCCACCTCCAGGGTTCAAGCAATTCTCCTGCTTCAGCCTCCTGCCCAGCTAATTTTTGTATTTGTAGTAGAGACCAGGTTTCACCGTGTTGGCCAGGCTGGTCTCAAACTCCTGACCTCAGGTGATCCACCCACCTCCGCCTCCCGAAGTGCTGGGATTACAGGTGTGAGCCACTGTGCCTGGCCTGTCTTAAGTTTCAGGCCCCTACATCACTGATATTCCAGAATATCCTGGGGTTTTGGGTCTTCTGCCCCTCTCCAGCCCCCTCCTCACCCAAACTGTGCACTCTAATGTGGGGTTCAGGGAAAAGGGCCTGGGCAAAACCGAGCCTGGGTGTCCCATGGGGAGCAGGGCCTCTGACTGCTTGTGTTGAGGCCAAATGGTTACCCCTGGAGGGCGCTGGAGCAGAAGTGAGGAGCAGGTGCCTGAGTTGCTAAGGGTTTTTGATGTTCCCTGGAGCCCCGCCCCTTCTCACCACCACCCCGCTCTCCCCTAGAAGGCCTAGCCTGTGGCACCGCCTCCAAGAGGATGTGCGCTCCTCCAGGCACAGGGGAAAGTAGAGGGTGTCGGGAGCTGGGAGGGGCCCTGGGGGCAGCACCATCCAACGTAGGATAAGGGGAGGTGGGTACTATGCACCCAGCCCCGGGTGTGGGGAGACAAGCAAACCTGTGAGCTCTTGCTCAGTGGCTGCCTCAAGAGTTTACTTAGATCCCCCAGAGAGCCCTGTGGGAGGGCAAGGGCTGGCCAACTCCCCAGTGCGTGAGAGGGTCTCTACCCCATCACCCACCTTGTTCCTCTCTTTTCTCCCCTGCTGGTGAAGATGATGGTCACCTTTAGGGTGGTGGCCTCTGCCTGCCACCTCTGCTCCTGTCCTTATCAAGGGCAGAAGAAAATCAAGCTTTGTGCCAGGCACGGTGGCGCGGGAGGCTGAGGTGGGAGGCTGAGATGGGAGGCTGAGGTGGGAGGATCGCTTGAGTCCAGGAGCTCTGGGCTGTAGTGCCCTATGCCGATTGGGCGTCCGCACTAAGTTCGGCATCAATATGGTGACCTCCTGGGAGCGGGGGACCACCAGGTTGCCTAAGTAGGGGTGAACTGGCCCAGGTCGGAAACAGAGCAGGTCAAAACTCCCGTGCTGATCAGTAGTGGGATGGCGCCTGTGAATAGCCACTGCACTCCAGCCTGGGCAACATAGCGAGACCCCGTCTCTAAAAAGAAAAGAAAAGAAAAGAAAAACAAGCTTTGCTACAGCAGGAAAGATTTGGACATTGAGGGCTCCTTGTCCCCGCCTCAGTTTGCTCATCCGCCAAATGGGGCCAATTATGCCTTCCATTGTGAGGGCTGAATGAGGTCAGGAACCTCAGAAGGCCGTTTGAACACATTCCATGTGTGGAGCTTTGCCGCCCCCACCCAGCCTGGCTTCCCACTCCACCTCGCTCTTTCCCAGCCAGAAGGCCTGTCTGCCCAACCATGGCCTGGCTGCCCAATGACCCGGAAGACCCAGCTCTGTCCCAGGCCCAGCCCACTGTCCACAGGGCCCCTCATTCCCTTAACCAGCTTAGCAGCCCCCATGGGGATGGAGAAGCAGTCAGACCTGAGTCCTCTTTCATTTCCACAGACGCAGCCGCCGGCCCGAACAGCAGCGGCATGGGCAGCGCCAGCCCGGGTCTGAGCAGCGTGTCTCCCAGCCACCTCCTGCTGCCCCCCGATTCGGTGTCTCGGACAGGCTTGGAGAAGGTGGCAGCCGGGGCAGTGGGTCTCGAGAGACAGGACTGGAGCCCCAGTCCACCTGCCACGCCCGAGCAGGGCCTGTCTGCCTTCTACCTCTCCTACTTTGACATGCTGTGCCCTGACGACAGCAGCTGGGCAGCCAAGGCCCCTGGGGCCAGCAGTCGGGAGGAGCCGCCTGAGGAGCCTGAGCAGTGCCCAGTCATTGACAGCCAAGCCCCAGGGGGCAGCCTGGACTTGGGGCCGAGCGGGCTGGCGCTGGAGGAGCACTCGCTGGAGCAGGTGCAGTCCATGGTGGTGGGCGAGGTGCTCAAGGACATCGAGACGGCCTGCAAGCTGCTCAACATCACCGCAGGTGAGCCCTCTCCCCGTGCCCGCTTCCGCAAGAGGGGTCGCGGGCCACGTTGAGGTCGCTGGGGTGGGTGGGTTGGGGCACTGCTGGATGGACTCTGCCCACCTCTGCCCCCACCTCGGGTGGCTTCGGGGTTGCTGGCGCTTCTCCACAGTCAGCTGTGAGCCTGGACTGGGAGGGTTTCCACCCATCTCTGTGCCCCAACCATGCCAGCCTACTGTCCCCACTGGTAGGTGCTGGATGATACGAATTCCAACTCTGTGTCCCCCATGTCCTCTTGGACTCCGCTCTCCCCTCATTCGCTCTGCTGCAGCCACACTGGCCTCTTTGTGGTTCCCACGACACTCACTAGGCTGCTGCTCCTTCAGCCTAGAGCGCTCTTCCCCCAAATATCTGCATGGCTCACTTCCTTCAGGTCTTGGCTCAGATGGCACCATCTGCATGAGGCCTTCTCTGACCCCTCCATTAAAATTGACATCCGTGAGCGCAGGACATGGTAAAGAAAATAAACAAAAAATGAATAAAAAAAGAAAGAAGAAACATTTCTGCCCACATCCCTGCCTCCTGTTCCCACCTGCTTCCTCTCAGGACGTGCTGCACAGCATCTACTGATCTTGCTCACTCTCCGTGTCTGCCACTAGAATGTACACCCCATGAGGGCAGGGATTTTCATTTGTTTTGTTCATCACTCCATTTTCAGATCCTAGGATAGCACCTTGAATATAACTGATGCTCAGTGTAAACAGTTGTTCAACAAACATTTCTTTTTTCTTCTTTTTGAGACAGGGTCTGGCTCTATCACCCAGGCTGGAGTGCAGTGGCATAATCTCAGCTCACTGCAACCTCCGCCTCTGGGTTCAAGCGATTCTCCTGCCTCAGCCTCCTCAGTAGCTGGGATTACAAGTGCCCACCACCACTCCTGGCTAATTTTTGTGCTTTTAGTAGAGATGGGGTTTCGCCATGTTGGCCAGGCTGGTCTTGAACTCCTGACTTCAGGCGATCCACCCGCCTCAGCCTCCCAAGTGCTGGGATTACAGGCGTTAGCTACCTCTCCTGGCCAACAAGCACTTCTTAGTATGCCAAGCTTTACTCTAGGACTGGGGAATTGAGTGGTGAACACAACACAAAGTCCCTATGTTCATAGGGCTGACATTATAGTGAGGGAAACAGATCATCGATACATAATGTGTCACTCGTCTGGTGACACATTTCTCTGTTTATCTCTATTGATGACACATATCTCTATTTTTTTTTCTTTTTCTTTTTTAAAGATGGGTTTCTCCATGATGGCCAGGCTGGTTTTGAACTCCTGACCTCAGGTGATCCACCCACCTCGGCCTCCCAAAGTGCTAGGATTACAGGCATGAGCCACCGCACCCAGCCTTAACATATCTCTATTTATGAGGAGGGACTCTCCCAGGGCGGGCATACATGTGTCTGTCAGTCAGACCTGGAAGGCGTGGTTACGGAGCTGATGCTGTGGGCGGCAGGGCTGCTGAGTCTCCAGTCCTGTCCTGCCATCCCCTCTCCAGCTTTAGGCAGGCCTGACCTATGTCCCTTGGTCTTTAGGCCCTGGCATTGCAGCGCCCAACTCTGTGCAGCTTTCTCTGGGAAGGAGGGGTCTTTACACATCCCTCAGGCCCAGCCCCTGCCCCCAAAGCCTTCCGGTTGACATCTTTGGAAGCTGCTCCTGCCGATGCCGCAGTCCTCCGGCTGCCCAATGCCCGTGCCAGCCGACTCCAGGAGTTCTCCCACGGACCTCCCTACCCACAGGGCTAGGGAGGGGAGGGCCCTGCTCCATGAACAATGGGAACAGAAACAAATGGCTTTGACCTCGGGGAGGAAAATGGGCTTATTAAGTAGGGGTGGCCCAGCCTGCAGGTCACCGAGCTGGGACACTGGCTGGACCACGGTGTTCACTGGGAGGCCCCATTGTGACCATGCCCACCAGCCTGGCCCCCACCTGTAGGCCTATCAGGCTTACCCCAGAGCAGCGCCCCAGGGAGACATCTGGCCTCTGGGGCCTGTGGCTGCCCATGACTACCCTGTGCCCTGCCATTTACTTATTCAACACGTGCATGGGGCAGCTCCTGTGTGTCCAGGCCTTTATTCCGGGGAGGACAAGGGGATGGAGTGCCCTGTGCCTCAGTTTCCTCATCTGTAAGATACAGGGGCTGGAGGGAATGGTGGGGTTCTAAGACTAATTCCCAGGTAGGTGTGTCGCTGGTTCCTTGAGGGGTTTGGGAAAGGCAAGAAGTACCTGAGGGAGAAGCCCAGGTGTTTCTGGTAGAATGTCACTGTCCCTCCAGGGCTGGGGCTCCCTCGAAAGGTCCTTTGGAGAGGTGGGGGGGATCTGGGAGGACCCAAGGCCTGGGTGAGGCAGGCAGTACAGATGCACCAGGTTACCCTACCCTGAACCAAGTTCAGTTTTTAGGGCCCTGGTTCCTTCCTGACGCCCCACTCTCTCCTTGGGTACCCACCTCCACAGGGGCCCTCACGGGCCTGTCCGGACCTGGCCTATCTCTACCCTAAGGAGCAGTTCCTGTGGGTGCCCCATCACAGAGGGGGGTGCCATATTTGGGGTGGTGCCCTCAGGCTGCCCCTGAGCTGAGGGGGTGCCTCTTGACCAGATCCCGTGGACTGGAGCCCCGGCAACGTGCAGAAGTGGCTCCTGTGGACAGAGCACCAGTACCGTCTGCCCCCTGTGGGCAAGGCCTTCCAGGAGCTGGCAGGCAAGGAGCTGTGCGCCATGTCGGAGGAGCAGTTCCGCCAGCGCTCGCCCCTGGGCGGGGATGTGCTGCACGCGCACCTGGACATCTGGAAGTCAGGTAGGACGTGGCATGGGTGGGAGCGGCCCCTCCCGGGCTCCAGTCAGGGACAGGATGCCGGCCAGGAGGTTGCCCTCTGCTGGGGCAGCAGCCCCTTGGCCCCTGCCTGGAGTCCACTCTGAATCTCAGCCCCAGCTGCCACTGCCTCCTGGATCCTGACCCACTCCGAGCCCAGGTCAAGGCCCCAGAGCTTTGGGACAGCACCTGGGAGGTCAAAAGGCAGAAGTCAGACTGTGAGGATGCAGGATGTCAGAGCTGGGGGCAATTGTGGACACTAGGAAGTCATTTCCTTTTAAAATTTTGTGTTTTTTTTTTTGTTTTTTATTAGAGAAGTAATAAATGTGCATGTTATAAAATCGACCACAGTGAAAAGTAGCGTACCATGAATAGTGTCTCCCGCCCACTCCTGACCTCCGACTTCCAACCCCCGCCCTAGAGGCAACCAGTTGCCAGTTTCTTGAGTATCTCTGCAGGGAAAGTCTGTGGATATTCAAGCACATGTACATACATGCAGTTCTTTTTCTTTTTTTGACATCAACAGTAGCAGAGTGTCCCCTGCCCTGCACGCTCAGTATGTCTTGGATATTGCCCCCGTCAGTCTGTATGTAGCAGCCCTGTTTGAATTTTAGCTTTTGTTTTTTAAGACAGGGTCTCAGTCTGTTGCCCAGGCTGGAGGGCAGTGGCACAGTCACAGCTCACTGCAGCCTCGACTTCCCGGTTACATCGGATCCTCCCACCCCAATCTCCCGAGTAGGCTGAGTCTACAGGTGCCACACCACGCCCTGCTAATTTTTTTATTTTTTGGTAGAGATGGGGTTTCACCATGTTGGCCAGACTGGTCTCCAACTCCTGGACTTGAGCAGTCCACCCACCTTGGCATCCCGAAGTGTTGGGACTACAGGCGTGAGCCTCCACGCCCAGCCTGCGCTGTATTTCTAATGGCTGCAGGTCAGCCCCTGAGTGTCTAAATCATCTTGAACTCATTGGGCACCGCCTGCTGCGTGCACAGGGCCGGGTGCTTTGGAGGAGGTGGTGCCTGCTCCATGAGACAAGGAGTGAGACACAGGACCCCCTGATATGACCCTGCCAGAGACAGTGCCCTGCCCCAGCCTAGGCAAGCCCCCATGTCAGATGTCCTCATCTGAACAAGGTGATGCCTGCAAGGCCTCTACGGCTCCTCCCAGCTCTGAAACCCTGAATTTTCTTCCAGGAAGCAGCTCCTTGTCACCAGCTTGCCTCCCCAGGTTGGCAGGAGGCAGGAAGCCACAGGGGTAACCCCCAGCCACAGAGGGGCTCCCATAGCCCCACAGTCCCACCCAAGCGCCTCCCCTCTTCCACCCTCGGGGTCTCTCCTGGGTCCCCAACCCCCTCTCCTTGCCCTGCAGCGGCCTGGATGAAAGAACGGACTTCACCTGGGGCGATTCACTACTTCGGTGAGCCAGGCAGGGGCAGGGAAGGGTTGGAGGCGGGGGCTCAGGTGGGGTGGAGGGCCGGCTGCCACTGAAGCAGGGGCTGGCCTCCCCTTCCCACTCACCGCCACCCTCCCCGGCCACGCAGCCTCAACCAGTGAGGAGAGCTGGACCGACAGCGAGGTGGACTCGTCGTGCTCTGGGCAGCCCATCCACCTGTGGCAGTTCCTCAAGGAGCTGCTGCTCAAGCCCCACAGCTACGGCCGCTTCATCAGGTGGCTCAACAAGGAAAAGGGTGAGCGGGGTGCCCAAGGGGCGCGGCAGGAGCAGCGAGCATGGAGGCGGTGGGGGCTCCCGCCGGGCACTGTGCATGGGGGCGGGGGCAGGGCGGAGAGGTGAAGCTGATTCCCACCTGACCCACCTGTCCTGGATGCCAAATACGCTGCTCTCATGGGACGGCCCTGGGGATCTGTGTGCAATCTGTGTCCATATCTGTCTCCCGCCAGACCCTGTCTTGCTTAGGAGCTTTAGTACGGCACAGTGCCTGGAACGTAGGAGGGCCTGAAAGCTTCTGCTGGGGATGGGACAGTCTTTGCCCTCAAAACATCATAGCTTCACCGGGGGACGAATGACGTCCAGCAAGAAATAGAATTTGAGCCACGTTTGCTATATTAAATTTTCTAGCTGGGCACAGTGCTTCACACTTTAGTCCTTACTACTCAGGAGGCAGAGGTGGGAGGATCCTGTGAGCCCCGGAGTTTGAAGCTGTATGGAGCTGTGATCTCACCTCTGTACTCCAGCCTGGGTGACAGCGTGAGACCCTGTCTCTAAGAAAAAATGTTGGGCCGGGTGGTGGCACACGCCTGTAATTCCAGCACTTTGGGAGACCAAGGCGGGTGGATCGCCTGAGGTAAGGAGTTTGAGACCAGACTGACCAACATGGTGAAACCCCATCTCTAGTAAATACAAAAAGCTAGCCAGGTGTGGTGGCAGGTGGCTGTAATCCCAGCTACTTGGGAGGCTGAGGCAGGAGAATCACTTGAACCAGGGAGGCAGAGGTTGCAGTGAGCTGAGATCGAGCCATTGCACTCCAGCCTGGGCAAGAAGAACAAAAACTCTGTCTCAAAAAAAAAGAAAGAAAAGAGAAAGTTTAAAAGCAGGTGAACTTAATTTTAAGAATACATTTATTTAATCCAATATTATAAATTATTCAGACTTCAACATATAATTAATATAGAACTTATTAATGAGGTATCTTCCTAAGCCTTAGAAATCTAGTGTGTATTTTACACTTCCAACACATTTCATTTCGAATTCAGCCACATTTCATGGCTCGAGAGCCATATGTGGCTGGTGGCTTACTACCCTGGAGAGTGCAGGGCTTGAGGAGTGTGTGTGTGCAAGTATGCCCGTGTGCGGGCGCGTGTGTGTTTAGAGAGAGGCTCAGAGCCGAGAAACCTGCCATAGGTGCTGTGGGAGCCCGGACCTCCGCCGTCTCTGCTGTAAAATGGACTGGATTCATCCATCCAACAAACCTTCAGCCAGCACCTGCTCTGGTTCCGCACTTGCTCAGCAGACATTTACGGAGGACTAGGTCCAGGAGGACTCATGGAGGAGGAAGAGGAGGAGGAGGAGTCAGTTAGGTGGGAGTGGTGGCGAAGATGCACCTGTGCACGGTGTGGTGGCCCTGGGTGTGTATTTGAGACAGTGCGAGCCAGTCTGGGCACAGTCCCATGGTGGAGTTCTAGGGAGGGGGTTCGGGGAGAACTGGTGGTCTGCAAAGTCTCCCTGGAGAAGGGATGCTGGCCTGGGCCTGGGCTGGAGGGTTTATTAATAGAATGAAAGTTGAGGGTGTGAACAATGGAATAACTTGTCCCAAGTAAGCGCTTTCTGTAACAGCTCAATAACGCATGGTAGTCATGTAACTCCCTCTCACAGACAGAAAAAGGAGCCTCAGGTTTTGAAGGTGGCCAATGGCAGAGCCAGGACTCAAGTCCAGTTGGCTGAGCTCCAAGTCCACTCTCTCTCCACCATCTCGTATTAATTAATCCTGCCAGAAAGGGCTGCACAGGCCGAACTGCCTGAGAATAGCAAAGAGGTCATTTCAGGCTTGGGAACTACGGAGACACCTGTAGGGGGGGAAGGGTGCTTTTGCTCAGTGAGCCGTGGGCACTGCCAGGAGCCACACAGGACTCTGGATCAGGGCATGCAAACCCCACACGGAGCAGGGGCTGGCAAGGGCCAGGCCCACAGGGCCCCAGGAAACCCATTAAGGTACACAGGCTCGCCTGCGCCAGGAGGTTTGTGACTCCAGAGTATTCTCTGCCATTCACTGGGGCCTGCGGCACCTGCTTTGCACACGTTTCTTTAACCCCCACTGCAAATACACCATGCAAGTAGGCATTCCGGTCCCCGCAGCCCATCCCACCCGAGCAGAGGGTGGCCTCCGCACGGGGTCCCTTGGTTCACCTCAAGGCGGACCTGGTGGCCTGCGTCTTTCTCCTTCCTGCCACCTCACTCATACCGCTGGCTCTCTTGGGGCCCTCCTGCTCTCCCAGGCATCTTCAAAATTGAGGACTCAGCCCAGGTGGCCCGGCTGTGGGGCATCCGCAAGAACCGTCCTGCCATGAACTATGACAAGCTGAGCCGCTCCATCCGCCAGTATTACAAGAAGGGCATCATCCGGAAGCCAGACATCTCCCAGCGCCTCGTCTACCAGTTCGTGCACCCCATCTGATGCCTGGCCTAGTGGCTGGCCCAGGGCCTGAAACCCGCCCCTAGGGGCCTTCCTCCTGCCCCAGCCAGGCCCTGCACTGGGGGAAGACGGGCAGTCTGCTCTGCTGCTCTGAACTCCCAGAGCCCAAAGTGAGGGAGGGGCGCCCCACTGCTCCCTGGGGAAAAGTGGGCCCTCTGGGGTCTACGGGACCCCTGGGCAGGAGTGCTGCTCTCCTGGAGGACAGAGGAACCAGGGCTACTGTCAGTGTTCACTGCTCACCAACAAAGGACCCTCACCTGCCTCTGACCCCAGCATTCCCAGAGCAGATCCTCAGAAGGGCAGGGACTCCTCGAAGGCCACAGGCGGTTCAGGGCTCTCTCTGCTCCATCGCCCTACCTCCCATTCTGCACCACACCCGGCATGGTGCAGGGAGGTGTTTGCACCCCTGAGTTGGGGAGGCAGGAGTGCCCCTGGGAATGGATAATAAAGATACTAGAGAACTGACATGTCCCCAGTGTCTGTGCAGTGAATGGCACAGCCCCGAGGCCATCAATGGTCAACGTGGTTGTGGTCACAGGGCCTGGAGTAGCCAAGGGAGGCTTTCTGGAGGAGGTGGCTGTGGACTGAGCCTAAAGGGAAAGGGATAATTGATCGGTAGATGCTTCTGGGAGAGGGATAGTGAGTCTTCAAAGGCAACGAGGGAAGGAGGGACTAGAACAGCCACCTTGTCTTGCCTATCCCATTCTGGGCTGAGAGGCAGGCGGCAGGGCCAGCGCTAAAGCAGGTCCGTGTGCAGGACCGGAGCGGGGAAAGCATCTTCCGCATCCGTTTGCTGTGTTGTAGAGCAGGGCTTTGTGCCTGGGTGGGCCGGAGGCCCAGGGCCCTTGTCTCTGCTCGGCCATCTAAGGGAGCTGGAGTTGTGGGGAGGAGGTCACTTCAGTCCCCTCATGGGACACTGGCTTTGCAGCTAACAGGGTGGAAGAGAGGTTGCTTGGCTTCCATTTCTGTTTCAAGGCCTCAGCAGTGCCACCTGTGAAGCTGTGAGCTCCCGTGAGTGGGTGTGAGACCCCCCGTGCATGATGGGAAGAGGGGATGCATCAGTGTCTGTGGGCATGCTGGGGGTGACCAGGACCTACCACCCACTGTCCTGGGCAAAGCAACTCATTCAACTTCCCCGTACTTCCCTCACATTTGTCACCTGGCTCAGTGTCCTGATGGTCTACTCTGTGCTAGGCGCTTTGTCATTCATCTTCCCAACAAAACTATGAGGTAGGGGCTACACCCCATTTTGCAGATGATAAAACTGAGACTCAGAGTGGCTAAGTGACTTGCTGATGGTCACACAGCTGATCAGCAGAATAACTCATGCCCATCTCTCCCCAAGGATAGGGCTCTCTGCTCCTCTGGCCCTCCAGCTTCCTGACCAGTCAGCACCCTTGGTGCCCCATCACCCTTACCGTCTGAGGCCTGGCTTGCAGGAAACAGCAGGGGAGCCAGCACCATCCAGATCACCAAGAGTTAAATGCTACCCTGTGCTGCTGCCTTCTGCCCTCAGCAGTTTTATTGTCTTCAGAAGAAAGTTTACTCCTGGCAGTGAGCAAATAGCACCTTGGCATCTGTCGGCTGGGATTGCACTGGGAGGAGGAGGGGGCCCTGCCCCAGGCCTCTGCCTCGCTGGGCCCCGGCTGTCTCTCACTCCCTTGGAGGGGGGAGTGTGTGGGGAGACTGGGACCCTGGCCAGAACCAGGCTCTGCTCTGCCGAACTGGTTTTGTCTCCAGCCAGTCCCCTGCTCCCAACTAGTCCCTGGAGCCACTTGCTTGTATGTCCCCAGCTCGGCCTGGGCCTGGGAAGGCATCAGGTCTCAGGCAGGCGTTGGGCAGGAGGATGAGCAGGGAGAGTAGAGCTAGGAGTGCAAAGCTGGAGCAGCTCCGGAAAGGGGAGATGTGGGGGCCCGGGTGAGGCAGACCCTGCCCGTGAACCTTGGCAGGCACACGCCTATCCAGTGACACCTTGTGAGCTGGAAGCGATCTGCAGACTCCTCTCCCTCATCCAAACACCTCCCTGCAGAACCCCACCTGGCTGGGTATTCTCTGACCCCTCTCCATGGGGCCCCAACCTCAGGCCTCCCCATCACTAAATGGAGCAGCCGTTTAGTGCAGATAAGACAACACAACAACCGTTTGTCTTTATTTGAAGATTCCTCTGTTTAGCTAAAACCAGGGATTCACATGGAAGTAAGTTTGGAGGAGTAAGGAAGATGGGGTGGCAAATCAATTCAATCCCCATCGCAACCTTTCTCCCTGCCTGGCACACCCTGAGGCTGGGGGAAAGCGGTGCTGGGGAGGGGGCTGAGGTATATTTGCCATGAGAAATGGGCTTGTGTGATGGCCCTGCCAGGCTCCCGGGGCCAGAGGACCCTTAGAGAGACATCTCACCAGACTGGGGAAGCTGAGGCCCAGGTGAGGGTGGGAACACGGTGAGCTGATGGCGGAACTGGGACTGGAGCTGGGACTCCTGCGCTGCCCCAGAAGAGATCCCCTGGGGCTGGGGTGCAGGGGCCGGGGTCAGGGAGGCAGAGCCAGGGCTGGCCTGGGGCTGGCAGAACAGCCAAGAGCCCAGAGCTCTGGCCCTGCCCATGCCCCTGAGAAATTCTCCCCAAGGAGCCTTCCCATGGGTCCCACACAGAAATGCTTTCAGAGCCAGGTGGGATGCAGGAGGGCATGGCATGGCCCAACGTCACCACACCGGAGCTTGATTGGCACTGTGGACAGCGGGAACCACAGGCCTTAGCAGTCACTTAGAATTCTGCTTTAAAAAGCAAAAACGCTGAGCACGGTGGCTCACACCTGTAATCCCAGCACTTTGGGAGGCCTAGGTGGGTGGATCACAAGTCAGGAGTTTGAGACCAGCCTGGCCAACATAGTGAAACCTCATCTCTACTAAAAATACAAAAAGTTAGCTGGGCATGGTGGTGCATGCCTGTAATCCCAGCTACTATGGAGACTGAGGCAGGAGAATCCCTTGAACCCAGGAGGTGGAGGTTACAGCAAGCCGAGATCGTGCCACTGCACTCTAGCCTGGGCAACAGTGTGAGGCTCCTTCTCTAAATAAATAAATAAATAAAAATTTATAAAAAATATAAAGCAAAACCTATTTGAGGGTCTCATTCTTTCTTTTTTTTTTTTTGAGACAGAATCTTGCTCCATCACCAGGCGCCAGGCTGGAGTGCAGTGGTGCAATCTTGGCTCACTGCAACCTCTGCCTCCCGGGTTCAAGCAATTCTCCTGCCTCAGCCTCCCAAGTAGCTGGGACTACAGGCGCACGACCACACCCAGCTAATCTTTTGTATTTTTAGTAGAGACGGGGTTTCACCATGTTGGCCAGGATGGTCTCGATCTCTTGACCTCGTGATCTGCCTCCCTCGGCCTCCCAAAGTGCTGGGATTACAGGTGTGAGCCACTGTGCCCGGCCACCTCATTCCTTCTTGATCCATCAGGGCTTGTCACCAGGCACCCAGATCCTGAATGGGCCAGAGCTCCAGGAGCCTCCAGTATCCCCCTCCCAAGTCCAGACAAGACCCAGGCCCCTGCAGGGGAAAGGGACCAGCCCTCAGCGGCCCAGTCTGTGGATGGTCAGCCAGGACAGCACCCAGTCCTGCTTGGACACCACCCCCGCTCCCCACATCCCAACACAAACAGCTCTTAGAGGGTTCAGCAGCCCCCAGGGCTGGAGAAGGCACACAAGACTCAAGATGACAGTGCGCAGCCAGGTTGACACAATTCCGGATTTTATCCACGGTCACACAGTCACAACAGATATATATATATATATTTGTATTTATATACCTTTAAATTACACAATCATGTACAAAACAGGGGCATTGCTGAGACCACAGCACTTCTCGGAGTTTCACAAGTGTCAGAACTAATGGAGTCAGGAAGCCTAGGGCGGCAGACAGCAGGCGGTGGGGCAGCGCCGGCTCCTGGCAGAACCAGGCTGCAGAATGGTGGTTAATTGGGGACAAAACACGTTAGTCGCCGAGCGCTGCCGGGGCGGGCCCGTGCAGCATCGAGGGTGTGGGCAGGGGCTACAGGAGGATGCCATGGGCATGGCAAGGGGTGTGGCCCCCACGCTTGGCATAGAGTGCCCTGATACCAGCACTGGCAGGTAGGGCTGGGACCCGGAGCTCATGGGGACTTCCAGGAAGGAGACCCTCCCACTCTGGGGCCCTGAGGAGCCTGGGGACGACTGAGAGTGGTCCCAAACAGGGCCCCTGAGGTGGCTGCTCAGGAGGGAGGGGGCTTCAAGTCCCTGCCCTGGAGTGGGCAGCTAGCTTGCTAAGAGGGACAGGCTGGAGTCCAGTGGGGCTGCAGCTCCTCCGCAGGGGCTGGGAAGCCACTGGCACAGAGAGAGGGAGCCCAGGCCCCAAGATGCAGATGTGTCAGCTTCCCACCTTTCCAAGGTAAAGTGACGAGGGACAGAGGCCCCCAACCCCAACTCCTGCCTGGGGAAAGGCTGGAGAGGCTTCTGTGCTAGAACTGGGAGGACTACAGTCTTCCAAAAGCTTGCTTCAGGCTCTGAGGAGCCCAGGACACATCTCAGGCTGCAGCTGAGGCCCAGAGACCAGACAGACAGTGATAAGGAAGGGGGCGCTGGCAGCAGGAAGGAGGTCTGTCTGTCCCTGGGTGCCATCGTCCCTCGCCCTGAGGGAAGCCTGCTCCAGCTCAAGCCCCTACCAGTGTCAGGACACTCCATGCCCACATGGAGAAGGTCAGAGCCTTGAGGCTGCGATCTACTAACTCCTAACAGTGGGCTGTTGGGAGAAGCAGTAGGAGCAAAGGAGGACTGAGGGGTGACAGGGCCGGGCTGGCTCGCTCTCTTTACCTGGAGGCCCAGAAGGCCAGGTGTGCAGGAGGGAGGAGGGCATCTGCAGTCCAGAGGCCTAGAAGTGGCATCCACTGTAAACAAGTCTCACCTGGTGCTGCAGGACTTCTCAACTCCTTGCCCCAGAGGTCCCCAAGAGCCTTTTCTTTCAGCTCTCCAACGTTGTGGGGTTTTATTCAACCCAGGTCTGCTTCCCAAGCCCCCGAACTCCTCTCGTGCGGGAGAGGCTGGTACCTAGCACTCTGGCACCACTGCTGTCGCCAACCAGCAGGTGGGCCCTTTGCTGCCACCCACCCCCAAAGGTGCTTTCATTCTGACCAGGCTTGGGGAGATGGAAGGGCTGCCAGAAGAGGGAATGTTGTTCTGGGGGCCGTGAGGACAAGGAAGAAAGACATGTGACTATCTTCCTCCTGAGGGCCAGGGCTCCTCCTTCCTGCCAAACTCATGCTGGAGGCACCCATGGGGCCCTCAGGGGCTCCCCAGGCAGGCCAGAGAAGAGGAGAGAGGGATGGTTAGGCCAAGAGCCTTGCAGGTACAAGGCTTGGCCTCACGGAGGCTGATGTGGAACCCAGGGATTTTACAGTTTTTAGATGGACATGGAGGGAGGGTGGGGGGCCAG